GTTATCTTAACTGTCATACTGTCACCCCTGAAGGGCGCACAGGAGGTTTAGCAGTGTTCTGGAAAGTAGGCTTTTTAGTTTCAATTATCATGTCCACAGCTAGGTATGTCTTTATTGGAATCCACTCAAACTTTTCTTCTTGGCCAGTAGGTTTTCTTTATGATCCCTCAGTCAAATATCATCGAAATATTTTTTGGAGAAATTTAAATATTTGGCTTTAGTCCATTTTTGTTCCCTTTTTATTAATAGGAGATTTTAATGAGACTGCTTCTTGTAATACATTAGATCTCTCTTCCTCTAGTAGCAACTTAAATTTGACCTCCAGACAGTATAGAAACCTAATTTATGACTTTAATTTGTTAAAATTAAACATTCAAGGTGGGGGGATTTCCTAGTCCAACAAATGAAATAAGGGTTACATTACTCGAACTTTAGATCGAGCAGTAGTGTCTCCTGATTGGCTCGGGCTTTTTTCAAATGCTGGTATTTCTCTAGGAACCAAATGGGGCTCTGATCATCATCCTCTTATTTTAAATCTAGATCCACCAATCCAGAACTTGCCAAAACTGTTTAGGTTCTTTGAAATGTGGCTCTCAGATAATTCTTGCCACCAACTTATTGAAGAAAGTTGGAAAACCCAAGCCAATGGTTATGCAGCTTTTAAGTTATCCAAAAAACTAGATAACCTGAAGAAAGAATTGATTGTTTGGAAGAGAAAAATCTTTATGGAACCAAAAGATAAATTAAAGTGCTTGGAAGATCGGATCTTATAGGTTGAACAATAGAAGTCTTCCCATAATCTGCAAGACCTGTACTTAGAATATGAGAAAGCTAATTGTCAATTGAAAAGTTATTGGAAATAAAACTCTTGACAAACTTGACCTCAATTAGGGGACAGAAATATGATTTTTTTTCCATAAGAGCACTATCTTTAGGAAAAAAATGAAATTTTATTGAGGGAATCAAAGATGATTAGAATAATTGGAAAACCTCACATAAAGACAATGCCAACACTTTTTTAGATTATTTTAATTCCCTCTATACTTCTCAAGAGCCTGATTTGTTAGAAGAGCTATCCTAGATAATATCCCCAATGATTTCTGAAGATGATAATAATATTCTCTTAATCACTCCAACACCTGAAGAAGTGAAGTCTGCCCTTTTTTCCATAGGTAATCTTAAATCACCATGGCCAGACAAGATGCCATCCCTTGTGTTTAAACAGTACTGGGAGCTGATGGGACCTGACATAGTTTTAGTAGTCCAAGAATTCTTCCAAAACAAGAAACTCCTAAAAAGACTGAATCACACATTTATTTGTCTCATTCTCAAAAAGGTTAATTGTACAAAAGTTCAAGACTACAAATCCATTAGTCTTTGTAATGCTGTCTATAAAGTTATAGCTAAGCTGATAACTAATCGGCTTTGCTCCATCTTGGACAAGTGTATAGCTCCCAATCAAGTATCTTTTGTTAGGTTGTCAAATGTTAGATAACTCAATCATAACTCAGGAAATGTTTCACTTCCTCAAACACAGAAAACGAGGTACATGTTATCTGGCTCTTGAACTTGATATGTCAAAAGCTTATGATCGGCTAGAATAGAATTTTCTTCTTAAAGTCATGTCACTTCTAGGCTTTTTTGACAATTTCTGCCTTTTGATCAAGGAATGTATTTCAACTGTTTCCTTTTCTGTCCTTATAAATAGTACCTTTGAGGGCCATCCCTTGTGTTTAAATAGTACTGGAAGTTGATGGGACCTAACATAGTTTTAGTAGTCCAAGAATTCTTCCAAAATAAGAAACTCCTAAAAAGACTGGATCACATGTTTATTTGTCTCATTCCCAAAAAGGTTAATTGTACAAAAGTTCAAGACTACAAATCCATTAGTCTTTGTAATGCTGTCTATAAAGTTATAGCTAAGTTGAAAATTAATCGGCTTTGCTCCATCTTGGACAAGTGTATAGCTCCCAATCAAGTAGCTTTTGTTCTAGGTCGTCAAATGTTAGATAACTCAATCATAACTCAGGAAATGTTTCACTTCCTTAAACACGGAAAATGAGGTACATGTTATCTAGCTCTTGAACTTGATCTGTCAAAAGCCTATGATCGAGTAGAATAGAATTTCCTTCTTAAAGTCATGTCGCTTTTAGGCTTTTCTGACAATTTCTGCCTTTTGATCAAGGAATGTATTTCAACTGTTTCCTTTTCTGTCCTTATAAATAGTACCTTTGAGGGTCATTTTTACCCTTCCCGAGGCCTTCATAAGGAGACCCTTTATCTCTTCATTTGTTTAGTCAATTAATTAATTTTGAAAAATCTGGAATCTTTTGTAGTAAAAATATTCATCATAGACTTCAACATATGATCAGTAGGCAAATCAAAATTGGCCCTCTGAATCGTAATTCCAAATATTTAGGTCTCCCTATTTTCTGGTCCAAGTATAAACATGACAATTTGAATTATATTCTAGAAAACCTTAAGGCCAAATTAAAAAAGTGGAGGGCTTCGACTACTGGTCAAGCAGGGAAGTCAGTCTTAATTCACTCTGTTCTCCAATCCATTCTTCTTCATGCAATGTCTCTAATCAAGTTTCCCTAGAGAATCATTGAAAGTATAGAACAAACCATCAGGAACTTTTGGTGGGGTGTTTCAAACAATAAAAAACATCCATATCGCTAGTGTTCCTGGACCACTCTTACTTTGCGTAAATCCCATGGAGGTCTTGGTTTTAAGAGACTAAAGATAGTTAATCAAAGTCTGCTTAAGAAAGTGGCTTGGAAATTCCTTAATGAACAAAACAAACTTTGGGCTCAAATTTGGAAATTGAAAAATCTCAAAAATTCTTCTATCTTCCCTTATTCCATTCCACCCTCAAGCTCCATTTACTGGAAAGTTGTTGGTTCAAAATTAAAAGATTTAGCTTATGAATGTGGATATTTAGTAAATGAAGACTCTTCCTTCCCAATTTCTCAATGCCCTTGGATTCAATCAGATTTCAAATTCTATTGGATTTCTTAGCCTTTAGCTCCCCAACTTCAGAATATAAACATCTCCAATTTTGTTGAAGCAAGAAATTGGAATGTCAACCTTATTCAGTCCACATTTCCTACACTTGAAGCTTCTAGAATCCTCAAAATCCCCATTTATCCTTCACATAATGATATTTCTTGGATTTGGGAAAATCATAGCTCTGGAAAGTATGGTTAAGGCAAACTATAAAAAGGAAATTTATTCTTGTATTCTAGATATCAATCTTGATTTGAAAATTTGTCTTACAAAACATTGGGTGTTAACTATGTCTCATTGTTTCCAATTGTTTTTATGGCGAATCCTAAACAATTTCATCCTAGTAAATGAACAGTTGTGCTTAGAAGATATTGAGAAACTCTGTGTTTTTTGTAATGCTGAAGTAGAGTCTTTATCTTATATGTTCCTCCATTGTCAATTTGCTCAAGCTGTTCTTTTCATAAATCCTTTGAATCTTCAATTTCATAACATATTTCAAAATTCTTGGATAACTGGTATTCAAAACTTGCATACTCAGATTCATGACCAAACTCTATTTATGCATATTCTGGGTTGGATTGCCATTGCTTGGTATTTTATTTGGTTTGCTCAAAATGAAAAAATATTTTTAAAATCAGCTCATTCCTCCTGTCTCAATTGCCAAAGTGGTTAATCAATATTTTTAGCTTTCCATAAATTATACCAATGATTCACAACCTCTTTTAAACCATCCTACGGATAATCAATTAACTCTCTATCTTTCCCGAAACACAGATTGTATTGTATTTTCAGATGCATGAAAGATCTCGGATTCTCTATATACTTTTGGCATCATCATATTATCTCAGAACTTATCTTGTCTGAAAATAATAGGAGGACGAACAACTCAAGTCAATTCAGTTATTCAAGCTGAATTATTTGTTATCTTGCAGGTTTTTCAAGAATTGCAAAACTGGAGGACGAATTCAATATGAGGTTTTGATATGACATGAAGCCATTAACTTGGCCACATTAATTGTATATATTTTTAAATAGGAAAAATTTATGATGCTGAAAAGACATGAAACTGGAAAGTCTTTTACCAATCAAAACATTGTGAATTTTGATGAGAACCCATTTGATTGGTTATCCATCATACTCGAACCATATGAAAACTTTATGTTGCTTGTAAATAGCAACTGTGTCATCCTCCTATGCTACCATGAGTATAAGAGAAAATCTATGATGCCAGAACAAGGATGAGCTTTGACCAATCAAAGCAATTTAGTGAATTTTGATGAATACCACTTGATTGACCCTCTTTTTTATGATATTGGTTGATTGGTTGTAAGTTTTTTTAAAATCATGTCTTTTCGGACATATCATAGTTGAATCTAATAAATAAAGATAATTTGGAGGTTCATCATTAAGGGTTTCAATGGGGTCAGATTGAAATAATAAAGATACGAATTCAAATATCAATGGACCAGGTTTGGGTTGAATCAATCTAAATTAAAACCCATTTGGACAAATTGGACAGCTCATACATTGACCAGCCCAAAATATTCATCGAACTGAATTAAATCTGGCATTTGTTTGGAACCATTGTCGTTGCTTCAGAAAACGGCACCACATCAGCGCCACATTGGAAAAAAACGGTACTCTAGGAAACAAGCATTTGTTTGGAACCGTTTTTCCATAAAAAACGGTGCTCCAAGCCACGCCTCAAAAATTAACAAGGTATGGCTTGGAGCAATACCAAGTTTGACATTTCTTGGAGCTGTAGCTCGTTGCTGCCAAAAAAACAATAATATGACACTGGATAATAGGTACCAGTGCTTGAAACGCTTCATAGAGCATTGGTACCAAATAGAAAAAGTTGATATTACTCCAAAAAAACGTCATATCTAACAACAATGATTCCAACCCAGGTATCAGCAGGACAGAAAACGATTCTGCATCTGCATCATCGATGCCAAACATATACTTGTCAATATAAAATGGACCAATTACTCGTCATCACATGCATTATACATTACTTACAAAATTATCACTATCAAAAGATTCGAAAGATTATTATACGAATTTCAAAAGTAGTTCTCAAATCAGACGGTTGATCTATTGGATCTTTCACAATATTACTCCACGCGGCAAGAATGGGAGAGGTCGTCTACGACGTCTTGACCCGGCTAGCTAAAAGCATTTTCCTATTTATTATAATCCACCTACCATCCCGTATACTGCAGAGACTATTGCAATTTGCAATCCAGATAACTTGTTGCGTGGTCCGAAGCATCGGTGATCTTCCAAATCAACGGTTAAGAAGTCAAATGATACAATCACGACATTAGCGTGAGACGTATGATGTCGACTTTCAAGTTTTGTGGTAGTGGGTCCCCACCACGAAGCCAGTCCACCAACTCCCACCCGCCAAGTCCCCAAAACCAGAGTAGGGTTGGTGAAAACAGCTTATCCATCCACCGGAAACCGCTTTCCACCAACTCCTCAGCCACCTTAAAAATCGTTCTTTGCAATTCCTCTCTCGAAACTTCTCTGTCTGGTTCGAAACAATTACCATGTCGACAGAAACGCAAGCCCCGCCGAACTTCTGGGGCGACATGCCCGAGGACGAATACTACGCGTCACAAGGAGTGCGAAACACCAAATCATACTTCGACACCCCGAACGGGAAGATCTTCACGCAGTCATGGATACCGTTGGATCTCCCAATTAAGGCCACCGTCTTTATGACACATGGCTACGGTTCCGACACCGGTTGGCTCTTCCAGAAGATCTGCATCAGCTTCGCCACCTGGGGCTACGCCGTCTACGCCGCCGATGTCCTCGGCCACGGGCGATCCGACGGCATACGTGCCTACCTCGGCGACATGGAGAAGATAGCCGCCACCTCCCTATCGTTCTTCCGCAGCGTCCGCCAAAGCGAGGAGTACCGCCACCTGCCGGCGTTCCTCTTCGGCGAGTCCATGGGTGGGGCGGCCACCATGCTGATGTATTTTCAGTCCGAGCCCAACACGTGGACGGGCTTGATCTTCTCGGCCCCACTCTTCATGATACCGGAGGAGATGAGGCCCTCGAAGGTACGCTTATTTCTGTACGGCCTCATGTTCGGGATGGCTGACACGTGGGCATCGATGCCGGATAATAAGATTGTTGGGAAGGCGATCAAGGACCCCGAGAAGCTGAAGATCATCGCCGCGAATCCGCGTCGGTACAGGGGAAATCCGAGGGTGGGGACGATGAGAGAGCTGGTGAGGGTGACGGAGTACATACAAAATAATTTCTCGAAGGTGACGATCCCGTTTCTAACGGTGCATGGGACCGCGGACGGAGCGGCGTCGTATGAAGGATCCAAGCTGCTATATGAGAACGCGTCGAGTGTGGACAAGACGTTGAAGTTGTATGACGGGATGTATCACTCGTTGATACAAGGGGAACCTGACGAGAATAGCGAACGGGTATTGGGCGACATGAGAGAGTGGATTGACGCGAGGGTGGAAAAATATGGCTCCTTGTAACGTGGGTCGGACTTCCGGCACGTCGAAGTGAATTGTGTCAGATTCCGGCGAGCCGGGTTTGGAATTGGGTTGCGGTTGGGCTGGGGGGGGGGATTATTGAAAATGAAAGTTGTTAAAGAAGGGAATTAATAAATTGGTTATTTGAGGAAGGGGGTGTTTGTTGATTGTTAGTGTGTAAAAGCATTTTTGTTTTTACTCCCTTGACAATGTGAAGATGAGTTTAATCAACTTTTTCTTGGTTGAGGCATCTTTTATTGTTCATGTTGGATTTTAATCTCATTAAAGATTAAATCCAATTGGATTGGATTAGTTAATTATATAAAAAATTACATTTGCACATATGTCTTGAAAATAGTTTTTTTTCTTACTAAAAATAGTTTTTTAATTTATTATATTAAAAAATTATAAGTTTTATTTTGAGTTTTTTAATAGGAACTGATTTATACTCCTTCGATAGAAAAAAGAGAGTATGGGGACAATTCAATCAGACATAATCAAGAGGCACTATTCAAAATTCAGACACACTTCACAGATTCTCCTCCAATTTTCGGACACCCAATTTCCCAACATTTCATGGGTCAGTTAATGTGTCAAACGATAGAGATGTGCCAACAAAGGGTTGGTGCAGCGTCAATCCTTTTTGTTGGAGTTAAATCCCTATTAAATACTTGCTTTGTTGGGGAAGAACACTATGGTCCTTGCAATTATGGTTTCTCCTAAATGAGATGTATCAAAAATCTAATAATGTATCTTGAAAAGAAGTTTTATTTATATATGGATTTTTCATTTAGTTGGGATAATGCGATGGGTATGGAAAATAGCGGAGTGAGGCGAGGTCTTGGCTTCGGTTGGTAATAAGGGTAGTAGTCGGGGTGAGGCCTCGACTTCGGTCGTCAGGAGTAGCGGTCATTAGGGGACAGTGGCGTCGCTTTCATAGTGTGCGTCATCCCTCGCCGGTTCAAAGGCGTGTGTGATGCGGATGCCTCAATTTAGTAGAGATGTCCCATATCACGTATGGTCAGGTCGTGTCAAGGGCTTACCATGTGAAAGATGGTCACTCCGGTAAGCGCATGCTTGTAGGGTTGAGCAGTGGGCGGCCCTTGTGGTTCGCTCAACGGGCTGTAGTAGGTGAGCCTCGCAGCCACTCGGCGTCGTTTCGTCTTCTGAGGGCATGTGCTAGAAGGTGCGGTAGAACTGGTTCAAGCATGAGATCAAGTGTGGAACTCGCACCAAGACATTGAACGTGGAACACACACCATTGACACCTGGGCTGGATTCAAGCGTGAGATCAAATGTCAGTTCTACCCCAAAAATGTGGAGTATCTGGTGCGTCGAAGAATGAAGAACCTTAGACATCAAATATCACTACATGACTACTATGTCAAGGAATTTTCGATCTTAACACTTGACATCTTCGACATGTCAGACAAGGACCTTCTATTCAATTTCATGGACGGTCTCAAGCCATGGGTTGAGCTTGAACTTCAATGACGCGAGGTTAAGGACCTCGCCACTGCCATGGCCGTGGTTGAGCAGTTTGTTGATCTTAGGGCACCTGAGGAAGAAGAGCGAAAGCCATCCAGCCCACGTACCATGAGTTTGAGTGGGGGAGATCAACAATCAACCTCTGCAAAGGAGAAGCTAGTGCGCACCGACAAGCCCATCAATCACCAACAAGGGAAGAAGCCACCAGGAGCCCAAAGCCATCAAGGCCACCAGTACACCAGGAAACCCACTACTCCTCTCGCACCTTGTTACATTTGCAATGGAAAGCACTGGACTAGCGATTGTCTTGTGTGGAAGAAAATCCATGCCCTCATCGCTAAACTCAGTGATGATGAAGAGAGTGATGAGGAGAAGGCCACATCAGCACCGAGAGTAGGTGCCCTCGAAATTATAAATGCCATGGTAAAGAAAGAGGCTACATCCAAATGGCCCACCAAAGCCCACAAGGGGCTGAAATATGTAGGCATCACCCTCGGTGGGAGGCCGACCCAAGCATTGGTGGACACTGGGGCCACCCATAACTTCATCTCGCTTGCTGAGGCAAAACGACGCTTGACCACGACCAAACAAACAGGGTGGATCAAGGTTGTTAACTCGGGGGCCAAGGCAATAGAAGGCATGGCCCGTGGAGTAGACCTACAAGTGGGACCATGGAAGGGCAAAATCAACTTATTTGTGATTCCCTTGGATGATTTTCAAGTTGTTCTTGGAGTGGAGTTCCGACACAGGCCGAAACAACCCTTATGCCACACCTTGACACCTTAGTCATCTTGGATGACATTCCCCATGCATGGTTCCAGTGACAACAACCCTCAAGGTACATGGAAAGCAACTTTCAGCCTTGCAATACTACCAAGAAGTAGACACCCACGAAGCCAGTGCCGCACCAACAAGGAAGACCCCCTCTCAATTATCTCACATCAGTGCCAGAACGGGTTGGGAAGTCATCACCAAGAAGAAGTCTCCCCCAAAGTCGTTCCAGCACTAACGCCTGCACCAACATCCGCATTAGCACCAGCATCAGCCTCACCATCAACGAAAGCTCTATTCGCATTAGCATCAGCATCACCATCAGCGGAAACCACACCCACAGCAGATGCCGCATATGCCTGTAACTGATGGGCCCAACAGAAGACCCAAGGCCATGTCCAATTTCACCCACACCTACTACCACAACCATCAGGGGGAGCGAGTGCCACCCAAACCATCTAGGGACTATTTTCGCACCATCCCTCATACTAAATCACATAGTAGCCCTACAATTAGTCACCCTTGGGAAAAAATTCATGAGAAACTACACACTAACCATCCAAAATATCATTTTGACCCTTACTTGGCCAAGCTAAACCAGCCACTATCATACCTTGAAGCTGTCAGGAAATGACTAAGCCATAAGAATCCCCAACAGATCAAGCCATCCTAACCATGCCATCCAAATATACACCTCGGCCTTGGACGACAACCAGTTCGTGGAGTAGCAGAAGAACCCTCCTTCTGCATTAGCAACTCCAAAGGACCAGCAAAAGTCGATCTCCAAGGACGTAGATCAAATTGAGTGGGGGAAACTGTCACAAGTGACTCCTTCACCGTGCCATCAAGCACCTTCCACCGTGCCATCTGAGCGCCTACAACATGCCTTCATGGTGTCGCCATGTGTGTCATGGGTGGGCTACATATGCATCTTGTAAGGGGGACTACCGATGGCATTACTATAATTACTATGTATGATTTTTCATTCTTTTGATGTTTATTGTTATCATTCCCCAAAAAACTTAACGTACCGAGGAAAGATACGTGGTCGAATGAATTAAGAGCATGTAAAGATTAATTACGAGATCTCACTCTAATTATATTTATTGTCATTAATGAATACAATTTGACTTTTGTCGGAGTCGTATACCATATTTGTTGCATTTTATTATGTTTTGGCTTCTTACTTAGAAGTACTAGTAGTAGTCGTCGAGTGCCGCACGGGCCCCAACGACTAGCCCCGTGACATCATCATAGGTAAGAACTACCGGGCAATAGGACGTTGTGGGGCGGCCCCACAATGGCAGTCTGTGATCCGCGCCCATCTGCAATTAGAGAGAGAGATGAAGACGAACAAGCCGAATGCAGTGGTTGTGGGGGGCAGCATAGCAGGGATATCGTGCGTTCATGCCCTCACAGCAGCAGGATGGGACGCCGTAGTGCTCGAGAAATCGTGCCCCCACCGGAAGTCCAACCGATGCTGGGCTTGGGCTCGATCCTCTGGCTCTGAAATCCATCGATTCATGTCTCCACCAACCTCACCTTCTCCACAACACCACCCTGCCCCTCACCATCGATCAGGTACTTTTTTTCCCAATTTCCTAATTAGCCCTTGTTGCTCTAATGTTTTACGATTATGCTCGCCGGAGGAAGCTCGTGGTTCTTGTTCTCTGAACTTCTTTCCCTCCGTATTTTAAAATTTCGGTTTCTTAGTAGAATCAAGCAACAGATGGGGAGAAGAAGATCAGCTGGATACTGGCAAGGGATGAAGACTTCTATATAGGGCTCTACCACCCCACATGGTCCTCTGGGGTTACCTCTTCCTCTCTTTCTGCATTTCAGACGATAATGCCTCTGTTAAAGTTACAGCCAGAGTTCTTCAAATTGGTGAGATCATTGAGATGGTTGGGGATTTGCTCATTGCAGCAGATGGGTGCCTGTCCAAGATCCGTCAGAGTTTCCTACCTTATCTTAAACTGAGGTTCGAGTCTAAATCCCCATTTTTAACTCATGTGAACTTCTATTTCCTTCTAAATTTCTATGGTTTAAATTCAAACAAGAATGTGCATACACTTGTTTTTGGATTGAAAATCTTTTTCCAAATGTTTACAGTATCATACCATCATTGTCTAGATCCTTGTCTGTTTATCAGTTTTTTTTGGATTGAAAATGTGGGTTCATGGAGCTGTTTAGTTCTCAAATTATTCTTTGTCCTAAAAAAAGTTCTAAAATTCAAAAGCCACAACTGAAAGCGTTAATGCTAATATTTTTGTAGGTATTCAGGTTACGCTGCATGGAGGGGTGTTCTCGATTTCTCGGGAGACGAGAATTCAGACATCCTTGTTGGCATTCGCAAGGCTTATCTGATATGGACACGACTCCCGGCAACACGCTGCGTCGCAACTATAGGCAGCAGCGTGCACAGCAGCGCGCCTAGCGGCATGCACCAGCGTGCCGCAGCACAGGCGACACCCACCGCCCGGCAGCGTGCCGCGGCACAGGCGGCACGCACCGCCCGGTAGCGCGCCGCGGTACAGTCTGCCAGCCGCCCGACAGCAGCATGCATCGCATGGCCGTAGCACTCGGCAGCAGCATGCACCACATAGTAGCGACACGCACCACACGGCAGCAGCACGCACCTCACAGCAGTAGCAAGGTGGGTCGCACGCGCCAACGTAGAGCGGGGCCCACACGCCAGCTGTACCGTTCCCTTATCCCCTATTTTTGTGTTTCCCTTAGAAGTAGGAGTTTGAGTTTCGATAGAAGTTTAAGTTGCGATAAGAGAGGGACTACCTTAGCCGAATACAAGAAGGAAACCCTCCTGTAATCTTCTATTTAAGGAGCTGATTTATTCAATAAAGTCATCGAATTTTCAATCAAGAAGAGAACATGGAGAGTTAGGTGATCTTTTGAACAAATCACCCCTCAGTCCGCCATCATAGGGTCAACCCGCAAAAGGAAGGCAAGGAGTTTTCCCAGCAAACCGCCCCGTGACGAGATCCTACGCCCAGGCCCATAACATTTTGGTATCAGAGCCGAGCGTCATGGGCGACATGGAGCAGCTATCGACCATGGTTCACGAGCTGGAACACCATCTCGTGGAAAATCACGCGGAGGTAAGGGAAGTTAAAGAGGACGTCAGGGAACTTCGACGTCTCCTGGAGTTATACTTCTCCACCAGAGAAGGGAGCCCTGAAGGGGAAGCCACTCATCACAGCCGCCGCCCAGATCGGGCAGAGGGCTCCAGTGAGCGACAGAGTGACACACCAACAGTAGCAATCATACCCAAATACAGTCGTCTGGAGTCCCCCTCATACAGCGGCAA